TGCATTATGATCTGGGTTTTGCCCCCAAATGAATCATTCAGCAGATACTTGTGAATGGGGGAGGGTGGATTAGGAAAGGGTTGTTCTAAAGCAGAGGTGAGAAACACCTCCACAGTCTTCAGAAGCCACATCAAATGGTTGGCTGCCATCGTACCCTAACCTAGTTCCTTCCCCTCTTTTCTGCTCATATCTTCATATCGATCCCCTTTCATGACATTCAAGAATGTGGATACTCCTGGTATGAAAGGAAGGCAGAACTGTGAAGCGTCAGTTGTAAACCATCATCTTCATTATTCTTCTACCTAAACCTAGAGTAATACTGCTGACACCAAGCAGCAGTGCCGAGAGCCTGGCACTGAGAGCTGCAAGCAACAGCTTACAGCAACTGCTCACCTGCCCTTCCTGCTCAGAGGGCCTCCATCTTTCAGAAGATCTTGGTGGATTTGTCTAACTTCTTTTAGGGCATATAACATTTCTTAGGCATGCCAGATGATAAAATGTTCCAAATCACCTTAAACTTTCTCCTCCATCCTCGGACTTCAGAGACACTGAGGGAAAACTTTACCCGGAGATTTATTTTAGGACTGTAGATTTTACATTTGGGGTTTTGAATATCCACCATTCAGTAACTGATAGAACTAATCAACAAAAATAGAGAGGACATGAATGACAAAATGAACCAACGGGATCTAACTGATCTGTCAAGACTTCTACCCAAAACAGCAGAGTATCCACTTTTTCAAGTGTTCATAGAATATTCATCAAGATAGACCATATTCTGGGCCATAAATCAACCTCAACAATTTTATAAGAATTGAAATCATACAGAATGTGTTATCTAACTATAATGGAATCACTCTACAATAAATAACAGAAAGACAATAGGAAAATCTCCAAACACTCGGGCATTGAACAACACACACTTCCAAAAAATCCACGAGTCAAAGACGAAGAATCAAAGAAAATTTAAATGTATGTACAGGTGCATGAGAATGAAAATATAACATGTCAAAATATGTGGGATACAGCTAACGCTGGACTGAAAGGAAAACTTGAAGCACTAAAAGTTTACATTAGAAAAGATAAAAGATCCAGAATCAACCATTTAGCTTCCTAACTGAAGAAAATATAAAAAGAATAGTCAAACAAAGGTAAAGTGAATAAATTAAATAAATAAATAAATAAATAAATATAAAGATAAGAGCCAAAGTCAGTGAAACTGAAACAATAAAATAACAGTAAATCGATTAAAGGGCTGATTCTTCAAAAAGATCAATAAGTGATGAATCCAGCAAGATCAACAATAAAATAAAGTTAAAAATCACCAACATCAGAAAATAAAACAAGATATCACAACATATTCTGAAGCTACCAAAGAGATAATAAAAGAATACAACCATCAAATTTATGCACCTCACTCCCAGAACTAAGAAGAAATGGGCCAATTCCTTGATAATCACAACCTAGTGAAACTCCAAAAAGATGAAATAATCTTAATAGTCCTATAACCATAAAGGAATTGATTTATAGTTTAAAAGCTCTAGAAATTATCATAAAATTTCAGTATTTGACCACTGACAGAATCTATTCTAAGACAAGACACTCTCCCTTCCAAGTGTTTAAAATCCAGATTGATTTAAAACTATAGGCCTGTTAGCTCTATCCTGGCAACTGTATTTCTTTGTAGTCCTGGGTTATTAATAAGTGTCTAATAAAATTTTCTCCCTCTCTGGGGGTACCTAATATCATATTGACAACAGACAATGTCTTCCATTAGAGATATTTCTATATTAAAGGTTTTTAAATATATTAAAGGTTTTTAAATGGCTGCAATTTCCATACATCACTGCAAATCTATCATTTGATTTCTCCATCGTTTCTTAACATCAGTGGCATTTATTTATAATCATCACTAGCATGGGATCTTTCTTTCTCATGTGTAGGACTTTGACTATCTATTGATAAGGTCAAGAGAACAAAATCACCAAGAGGAAGAATTATGTCCGCCTGCTGGTCTTCAGTGTACCTTAAGTGTCCTCTTAAATCAATTGCAGGGTATCCAGTTTCCTTCATAAAATTTCGCTGTCTATAGTTTTAAGCCCTAGGAAAGAAGTGGTAAATGGCAGAGGTTTCAATTCTGTCAAGAATGTAGGAAAATGAAGAAATGCTTTTATAGCAATTAAATAAATATGGCAAAAAACTGCCAGGAAGCCAACTGGGATTAAAATCTCATTTGATTTTTACTGGACATAATTTTGTCCCACTCACATGCTAAATCATATGATAGCTAAGGATGCTATGAAACCAGCTGGTGTCAGTACCAAAGGAGGATAGGAGAGGGTCAGATCCCAGGATGCAAGACTGCAGGAGACAGGAGAAGGAGCAATCAGAGTATCTCTGTGAGACAGAAACACATTTCACTAGTGTAGAGTTTGACTTAAAGACAGAGGAGGCTGATCTACAAGATCCTCCAGAAAACATGACTTTTATCATGATCTGAAAAGGCTCTTTCCTCTATGAGATAGTCCATGTATTGAGTTACTCCCACAAATAACTCTGCCATACTCTGTTGGAAAGTCTCTGTTGCCTTCACTTAGCTGAGCAAAGGCCTTCCAAACCTGTAGGACCCAGAGCATCTAGGCATTATCGCACTGCCATTGTGCAAGCTCTGTTGCTTGGATTTTATTAGCAGAGGTGATTCTTTTCAAGGCCAGATATACCACCTGCCTTCCCCAAAAGTGGTCAATTCAGCCCACAGTGGAAACTATGTTGGGATGTTGGACCAGATAACAGGTGTCACGATCACAAAAGCCAAGAAATCACAGGTCTAAGTCTGTCCATGTGTACTGAAATTGTCATTTGGGGGGAACATACTGTTCAGAAATCATTTCCCTTTTCTCACCTCTCCTCCTTCCACAGACCACATTAACTGCTTCTCATGTCCGTGACACCTGAAGCACTGCCCTCACTTCTATTTGGAGCATGATATTGCTATACCATGCACTCCTATTACACTGTCATGGTCATTCATTGGGGGTGGCATTTTCATGGTGACGTGTGAGCACTGGGCAAGTCAAAGCCACTCAGGGGTCACAGAATAGAGTTGGGACCAGTTAAGTCTTTCTGAAACCCAAGGAGGAATTTCTGCAGCTATAAATTCTCCCACATATTTTATGAAAGAGAAAATGTCATGCATGTTTTCCCTACCATTGTTAGTCATCAGTGAAGTTAGTGGAGAGGAGAAACAGCAATATAGGATTCTGGGGGAAACTCTAGACTTGCTCTTACTCGAATTCTGTTGCATTCATGCATTCGACCTTCACATGCATTCGACCTTCACAGCCCCTCACCCAGATCCTGAGTTTATAGGCTTACTGGATTCCAGCAGGTTTGCAGCCTTTCTATGATGATGTTCCACAAGTCTGAAATACTTCTCTAGACAACCATCACACCATGACACTAAGCTAAATAAAAACTAGATCATTACAATGAGATATATCTATGTCTTTCCTCTCCTAAATGCATTGGTAACCAACAGGAAAACTTCTCCATTGATTCTGAACCAAGGTCTAGGAGATTATAAATTAATTTTTTAAATAAACATCCTCAGGAAAAAAAAGACAGGCTTGAAATACAAGCAATATATCTCGATAGTCTACAGCTAAACTGAGAGCTCAGTTACCACCAAAATAGTAGAGAGAATAACATTTTCCAACAATCAGAAAACACTGCCAAGTGCTTTTCTTAAAATAACTAATAGTTTGAAACTATTTTTGTTCTTACGACAGTAGAAGTATAAAGTCCATTCTGAGGTCAAATATATTCTTTCCTGAACAAATATAGTGTTGAAATAAGACAAAATCTGGCTGGCTGCTATAGGTTTCTGTAATTCTCCTGCAGACTTTAAATAGGTCATAAGATGAATTAAAGAACATACAACCATCTACAGTAGAGAGCGATTTAATTCTTTCCCCACTCTGACCAAATGCTAGCAATGTCAGCATTAGTATTCTTAGGGTGTCTGTGATTGGTACTGCTCCTTGGCAAAGATTGTGGGTTTCTTCCCATAGCTTGTACAAAAAAAATGGTACATATCACGGATATGTTACATACATATATCAGTACATATTACATATGCATACACATATATTCGGAGTAGCAATGTGATCACAGAGCAAAGCATTCATGAGCAGCAGCAGGGAGCATGTGATCTTTAGGGTGACCTACTTACTGAAGGCAGCTTCTCCCAGTCAGGTGGTCTTCAGCATGACAATTAGCAGTTTTTTTCCCACAGTTTGGTCAGCAGGAAGGACACAGCGCTCTGCCTAGCTCAAGTCACTCAGCCCTGCTGGGTTTCTGCTGCTCTCTGGGGAACGGCATTCCGTTAGGAGTGTGACACAGTAGGGAAAGAGACCGGTTCACTGTGAGACCTGCTACTCACTCTCGTACAGTGTATCGGCCCCCCTTCCCACTGCACAGTGGCTGCCGGGCCCTGGGCAGGAGGCACACGTGGCCCTCGTGACAGTGAACCACGGAGTCAGAGTTCCACCGAGACACACCACGCTGCTTTGTCGGTAGCTTTCTTCAGAGACAGTGCTTTTTAGGATGGTATCAAAACAACCTAATTTGGTTTCCCTAGCCTTAGGGACAGGGGAAGCACTCTCTTTAAGATATTGAGGAAAAAAAAAAATAGGAACTAAGAAGATAGGGATGTGGTCAGCTCTCTGCTTTAAAATAAACTGAGAAGATCCGAAAATAATTTGTGGAGGCTGTGTTCAGCATGCATGCCTGGGAGGCTGGACGGAGGTGTGCCTCACCTCCTTCTTGTGCCTGCTTCTTTTGCACACAGAGTTGATCAAATGCTCTGATGGCTTCTCTGGGGAGGGGAACATGCTGTCTGAAATCACCACACTTGGGCACTCAACCAAAGAGTACACCTATGGAATTCACCGTGAAGACGATTGGGCTGGAGCACAGAAGGCAAAAGAGACTCCAAGTACCTGCTTGCTGTGCTGCCTGTGGCATCTGCTGACCCCTCTGAGCACTGTACTGAACCGAGGCCATGGGCCGGTACTGCTGCGTGGCTGAGGTAGGGTACTGACCAGACGGGTAATAATAGACAGGCATCTGGAAGACAGATAGGCAAAAGTGGAGAATGAGGATCAAACATAAGTCTTTTCTCACATTAAACACGCTGCCATCTATGATGTCACATGATCAAAGTAGATTGTAAAGAGGGCTCACACCATAAACTTCTGCCTGGCCTGTGTGTATGGGCATGTGCCATATACATGTTCTCCTGTGATGAGGTGGAACCCATTCTCTAAGCCCTTGAAACTGAGCTGGTTTGAGACCCACTTTGACCAGTGAAATGAGACAGAAAGACTTGTAAGCCTGAACCTCAGAAAAAAAAAATATGCACCTTTTACTCCTTCCGGAGAAGGATCCAGCCACTAAGCAAGGAAGTCCAGGCTTTCTGCTCTAGAAAGAGGCCATGTGGAGACCAGAGGCACCTGGACTGACAAGACACCCTCAATCGTGGGCATGTGTGTGAGCCCTGGTCAAATCACCTTAGCCGGTACCATATGGAGCAGAGAGGAGCTATCTGTGATGAGTCTGGCTCCATTGCTGACCTAGTCATGAGCCATACAATGGTTTTAAAAGTCTACCAAAGCACTTTGCAGAGTGGTTTGCACATAGCTAGAATCTGGAAATATGTTCAATATAAAAGGGGAAATATCATATGTTAAAATATCATTTATGTCACCCTCTGTAACTTCCTAATGACTGGGTATGAATGAAAAGCTTCTAATTACTTCCACTGAAATAAAGTATCTTCTGATCTGGAAGGACTTCTTTGCCTGCCTCGGGTCATTTATATTAAGGCTACTTTCCTACTGATCTTAGTTAATTATTTTCCCTCTTCAGGCCTCAGACTTTTCTCCTATCATCTTCTCTAAAGTGAAAATGGAGCCAAGCCCGTAGACAGCTTATGAGTATTATATGCATAGAATAAAATTATGAACCAATTATTTGGGAACTGTGATTTTATGGCTATTTTATTTTCTGATTTGCTCATGTCAGATAGAAAATACTTTTCTATTTCAATCTTGCTATTGAAACACGTAACATATTTTCTTCCCTCAGGATAAAGTAGGAACAAAAGATAACAGAATTTTTGTGACTCTTGTTCTGCGATTCCATGAAATCATTACGAGTTATAATTCTGATTACCTAATAATATGGACATTCAAGGGTAATGGGCTGAATGAATCTAAAACAATCACCAGTCTGCGTCTGGCAACTGATTTATTCATTGCATACATTGCTAATAGTAACTTAACCCTTTTTTGGTGAGGCAGTTTACAACAATAAAAACTTAAATAATTCTGGTGAAGTCATAGGTTTTAGTTTTGCTTTGGTAATTTGTGGTGCAATGAAAGATCACTACAATTATGCATCACATTTTCCAATATTAACAACAGCTACTACATAATTCATTCATCAGCATTATATTTGCATGTTTTTTTAAAAGAAGAATAGCATTTTATTTCTTAAGAAGAGACTGTCTGGGTGAAATATAAGCTTCTGAATTTGATATCCATTCCTTGGCTTTCCCTATTATGCTCAAAATGAAATGTAAAAAATACCTTCAAGGTTAAAGAATGGAACGGAAACACTTGAAAAGTTCCTAATGAGCACTAATGATTTTGGATAAATGTCAAATTTCAAGCAAACCTTTTAAAAAGCTACTTTTTAACAAGTTGCACTGGGAAGCTGATCACCTCTGTCCAGCACCTCTCCACAGTAAAGCAGAGCACCAGTTGGAGGAATGGGGACCTCCATCCATGTGAAGGAAGGGACACTTGACCAGCCCTCCATACCCCAGTGAGCTGGGGTAAGAGGAACCTTTTGAAGGATCAATATGAAAGGTTCCAAAGAAGAAAGGGGCAAGAGATGTAAAGCTAGTCCAAAAGGAAGACATATTCATTTTCAACGAACCATATTAAAATACGAAGAATCCAAAGATGGATGAGAATAGGAAAGACATAAATTAGAGAAAGAACTATAAAAGATAAACACTCTCCCATTTCCCTTCTTCAAATTCCTCTTTTCCTTGTTCATGTGTTTCCTACTTATTATTTCTAGTGGGCATTCAGAAAGCACACACAAGACAGAGAAAATTGTTCTTCAAGGTTATTCTCTGCACAAATATATTTCCATAAACATCCATGGGCTGAGTCCCAACTGAGTTGATTTCCATTGTCCTATATTTAGATAACTAGAGTTTTAAATGTTTATTGCATTGAAAGATATTATATGTTATAACCTATACCAGTATCTGTGGTTCTTTAAGAAAGATGTTCATAAATGTCCAAACTGATCATGAACTGTCTCTGTTTTTCCTCCATTTTTTTCCTATTTTTTAAAATCCGTTGAAGAGAAAATGAAAGTATTTCTGATGCAGACACAGCAGAGGTTTTGAATCGTCTTTTCTTTTTCTGTTCACTAATTTTGAAATTCCTTCATTGGGGAATGACTTTTTTTTTTTTTTTAAAGTGTTCAATTAAGCACTCTGCCAATTTCCCCTGACAACAGAAATGGGTAAGGACACTTCGATGTTACTTAGTCTACAAGAGCTAAGCAATTTCTCCAATAATTAAAGCTGAAGTATTTAATTTATTAGTAAAATAATTAATATATTAATGAAGTCCTTTCTCCTGTAACTTAAAGTTATTTTACACATCTCCTTAAATCCCACTGGGGAAGAAATATTATTGAGACAGAGACTTGAGGATGAACTATTAATTAATCACTCAAAATAAAATGAACAACTGACTGAAAATCATTTCATGGTAGATGGTTTTGTGTGTCTGGAAGACAAAATAATTTATTCAAGATGTTAAGGCAGTGAAACAAGTGATACAAAGGTGACACTGCACTTTAAACAGCTCGTCCAATGCGATGCTTCATAATCAGGATAGAATTTGCTTGGGATATGTGTGCCTTGAAAATGGACCAGAAATGCCTCTGTGCATTTTACATCTTGACAGTAATCACTTCCAATATTCTGCAAGGGATACCCAGGAGAGCACCGGAGATGTTTGGTGGTGAACAGTAACACATAATCAGTCTTTGGGAAGACAGTAGAAATCAGTGATCTGTGGTGTCTTACATGCTCAAGTCAATTAAATATGATTAATGGCTACCTGTGAGAGCAGGCATGAGCTCTGCTTCCCCTCAGGGAGAGGGAAGGACAGTAGATATTTGGTTTAACTTCCTCCTTTATATTCATAGAGGAGCTACTGCCTGGAGCATCCGATTAGCTCCGGAAAAATGCTTGTGAATTGATAAGAGGGAGAAACCACATTTCCTGAGCAGCAGGAAGAGCGGGTTCAGGGTCCCCTGGGGACAGGCCTTCCCTTCCTGGGCAATCCCAGGAACAGGGCATCACATGGTAGCAGAGGCTTTTCATGGCCTCTGTACCAGCAGCCTGAAAAAAAAATGGGTCATGCCGTGGGTGGTTGGGTCAGTTTCCTTCAACTTCCTTTCTGAGCCCTATGACTGTGCACAACCAATGAACAAAAGGACAAAACAAGTCCTGGGGGTGGGGAAGACCTACAGGAACCCGTAAGGCAACTTGACCTCAGGTGATGTTCTACATGGAAAAGCGGGTCAAAGTGCACCCACCTGTGCAGCTGCAGGCTGTTGCACAAATCCCTGTGGGGAGGGAGGGGCCTGAAGAACTTGCTGTGAGATGGGAGGACCAGAGCCAGAGAACCCCCCTGTAGAAAGCTGCTGGCCCGTAGAGGCGATGACATAGCTGGGCTGCTGGGTTGGTTGTGGCAGGAGGGAGGACGGATAGACAGGACCAGACGGTGGCGGCTCGGGAGTCTCTCCTGAGGACTGACGGCTCAGGTTCATCTGGCTGAACTGTGTGGCCACATCATCTCTCTGCCAAAGACAGGGAAAGAAGAGGAAATTAGGATGATCAACTTGGTAACAAGAACGTTAACGTTGAGGCACACACAGGACATACACTTATAATTGGGGGGAAAGGAGGAAGTATGAACTGAAAAAAAAATGAAATAAAGGAATAATTCAGTCAGAACATGAAAAAAAGAGTATTGCATGAGAAATCAGGATTTTATCATCTTAAGAACTGGAGATGGTAAACAATTGGACCCAAATACCCCAATTCAATGCAAGCAAAGTATTCTTTCTAGATTGAGGGCTCAGGATCCTCGGGATGGGTGCTCAGACAAGGTGATGATGCTTGTTGTGCCAGGTCCTCAAGGGTCAGCTGGTCTCCCCAGCAGCAGTCATGGATCTGCCTTCTTGAGAGAAGCAGTCATGCCTACTCATCACCACCCACAGCTGCTGCAAAGGTGGAGTTAGGATGGGAGTTACCAACAGGCTGGGTGGGATTACATGCCTGATTCAGGGAGCATTCGTTCACTGTCAGAGCCTGAAATTTAGGGACAATGCTCCAAGCTACTATCCCAAAGGATCTATTACATTGATGGTAAAAATGAAAAGAAACTGGGGGACTGGCATCCAAGGGGAACACCTGCATCAAGAACATAGGGTGATAATAGCTATGCTACCATCTTGACTCTGACTTTGAGATATTTCCCCAAACTTCACACCAAGTTCCTGTTTCTCTCTGTTCCTGACTTGAGAGCCTTCAATTCCTTCTTAGCCAATAAGCATTAAAAAAAAAAAAAGGAACCAGATTATAGAAGCAATTAACATTAGACAGATAACAGAAAGGAAACAAGAGATGTCGTACAGAGATGGGTTGCATTTTTCAGGGATGAGACATTCACACACAAACCCCCACCTCACCGTCAGCCCAGGACACCCACCCAGGATCAGCCCAAGCTGCACAGGAAAACAGCAAACCAAGTGAATGAGCTCTCCCAGGGGAAAAGCCACATTCCATATAATACAGTACCATGGGGAAGTGCTGCGTTGGAGACACAGGCAGGAGATGCTGGGGAGGAAAAGAGACTGCCGGATATTGCACTGACTGGGAGGGTGCCTGCAGCCCCTGGACAGACTAGGGGGAAGAAAAAGCTGATCAGGAAACAGGAAAGCACAGGTATTGAGTCCCACAGGAAGTGACTGCTGTCCCTAACAGGTCCTCTAGGATCAGTGCAGCCCAGGGAGGAGAACCAGCCCCCAAGGAAAAGTCAAGGCCATGCAGACCAGACTGGGACAGCCTTGAGGGAGGCTAGTTTGCACAGAGGGAACACTCCTTGGAGAAGTTAGTGATGTCCATTTGGTGTTGGTGGTGGTTAGATTCTCTAAAAGTATGGCCCAAGGACTAAGAGATAAGAAAGAAAAAAAAAAAAAAGTAAAAAGCGGCTCATTCTAGTTGCCTATCTAGAATGCTTCAGGTTCCTGTGGCTATGTCCACATGTCTCCCTAGGAAAGGAGGCAGTTATGCATCTTTCTAAGAGGCATGAGGATGAACAGCAGTTCACTTGGAATTGATTGATTTCCATTCCTCCCATTGATAACGAGTTCAATACTGACTCTTTGCAGACATGAGCATTGGACCTGTGATGGAAATGGATAAGCAAGATGAGACACAGCCTGGATGTCATTATGAGTTCAGTCTGTAAGACAGACACTCCTCGATACATAAAAACAGCATCTAGACTTAAGAAAAAAAACATCTTCCTTTTCCCTATGACCTGCTCTCCCTCTGCAGGTACCTGCACTGGAGCGGGTATACATTTCTATCTAAACTTCAACATCAGATGAAATTCTGTCCACCTGCAACAAAGAATGCTAGACTGACAGGTTTTACTTGTGAGTGGCATCCCTAGAAAATACACCTCCTCCCTGGTCACTGCTGCTCTGAAGGCGATGCAGCCTTCATCTGGGAATTCTCCCCCTCCAGGGCTTCCAGCCAGCCCCTCACCTGAGTGACCAGAGGGCCTGCCATCTGTGGCTGTGGTGGCTGCACCTGCTGCTGAGGCTGCGGAGAAGGCTGCTGCTGAGGCTGCTGCTGGGATTGTCCCACCATCGTGCTCCGCAGGGGCTGCTGGCTGGCGGGAGGGTTGTATATTGCAGGAGTCCCATCGGGATTCACAAAGGGCTGACCTGCAATGGGATCAGAGCTTGATCCAAGTGAACTTCTCCATCTTTCCCTAACTGAAAGAAGCACTCTGAGAGATCCTGCAAAATTAGCCTGAAGTGAAGGGGGAGGTGGTGGGAATCCAAACACCACAACCTCCACCAGAGGGAAGGTTTACTGTTTGTGATCCAAACTAGCTGAGGTTAGATGACAGTGTAAGCCCATAGCAATTTAAGAAGCAGAAAACAAATCCACCATCTTCAGGGAGCTTTGCCAGAGCTCAGTGTTCCTGTGGACAGTGGCATCCAGTGGAGAAACCTGCGGAGAAGCAATTTTCACAAAGCCGACGTGTTGTGCTGCCGGATACCTCACAGCCATCAGTGAGATAACACACACTGAGGGGCATGGCTGCTTCCCATTTACACGACTTCAGCTACCCACAGTCACAAGTTATTTGACCATACATTTATTTTGTTTCCACTAAGCCTTGTTGCCAATTCAGACTCATCATCAGTTCCACAACGACCTAGCCAACAGAACATAATGCATCCATTTGCTCACTTCTCTAAGTGGACATAACCAGGGATTTATAGGTTTCCTATTTTAAAGATGATGCATGATAAACTCATCACAGAATCATCTTGCAATGGAGCTTTATATATACATATATTATTTTGCCTTAGGAAATGCTGCACGTTTCACTATAGCTACTACTGCTGCTAATAATATTGCTTTATATTTGAAGAATAGTTTTTTTTTCATTTGCAAAATAGTATCATTTCAGCCTCATGATGATTCAGTGAGGAAGAAAGGTAACCTCTCTGCTTTTCAGAAAAAGAAATGAAGGCTCACCAGAAAGAATTCAGGAATACGGAGATGAAAGGAGGAGAGAGAAGGGCAGCAAATGGCAGAGAGGGAAAGAGGAGGTAAAGGAGAGAACAGCTGATTTCCAACGTGACAGGCACCTTACATGCACCATTTTAGCTCTTCCAACAACCTCATAAATATGCAATCTCATTTTCATTTTGTTCTACTTTTGTTTTCTGATAAAAACATCATTGTTTCCATTTTAGAGATTTAAAAAAAAATCAGGGCTCAGAGGGAGTTGCGAACTTATTCTGCAATTAAAAAAAAAAGTGAGAGAACCAGAAAATTATTTGATCAATAATAAGACTCCAAAGTCCATTCCCTTTTTCTGTTACACCAAAATAACTTAATTGAATTATCTAAGTATTCATAATGAGTTCATGGCACAAGAAGAAATCTTAGGGTAGGAGAAGAAATAATCAAAATTGGAAGCCATTAATGAATTCATGAGAAGTCAGAAGAGGTACAGGATGTGCCTCAAAGGGGAATATTACCCAGTATTGGCAAGAAAAGAATGAGAAGAAGTAGAACATGGGAAATGGACAGATAAGTTGTAGTGCTGCTTGTGAGCATTTTCTTCCTCTTTCCATAACCCCTGAAGCCCTTATTGGAAAGGAAGACAGGAGGTTTGTCTACCAAGTGGAACTCACAGAAATGTTCTCTAGAAAACTGAGCATAATACCTGGAAAGAATAGGGCCCCCAGGCTGTTTCCAAGAACAGCCTCCATGACTGGGCATTAGGCTGAAGCTGCAGACAGATGTCAAGGGCTCCTCAGGCACATAAGCAAAGCCTTGCAGTCTATACACTGCTCTAAGGCACAGGGTTACATGAACATTCCTATCCAGGGCTAGCAGCCATGTGATGGTAGAGACAAAAGCCTTTTCTTTAACAATGAAGATGAAAATCAACAATGAATCAATGGTTATACAAGAAGAGAAGAATAGCAACAAAAAGGGATGAGGAGAGAGGGATACAATCTAAAAACTCATCAAGAAGAAACAGGATATTCTAGAAAAAGGAAGTACACATGGTACTCCTACAACAAGAACAAATGCTATAAAATGGGAGCTATTTATTCAAATAGGCTACATGAAACAAATCAGTCCCAAAAGTCATCTATTGTATAGTTCCATTTATTACATATAAGATCAGACAGAACTAATTAATGGGCAATGGAAATCAGAACTGTGGTATTGCTGAGGGGGCATGAGGGAATCTACTGGAAGACTAGACATGTTATATGACTCATTCTGGGTAACGTTTACACAGGTGTTCACATATACAAAGATTTACCAAGGCCTAACACTTCCAGTGGGTGCAGGTCACACACTCTACCTATGCGTTTTTATACCTCAGGAAATTAAATTTAAAAAGTAAAATGGAACAGGTTGGGAGGGCAAATACTGAGGCTGCAGAAACACCAAAGAAAATGCTCATGGGTAAAGAGCAACAGACTTGGTGATCAGACTGTAACAGGAGCGTAGTGTCCTCCATCATTACCAAAGAATTTGAGTGCATGTATATTTCTGTGTATATAACAAGAAGTTTTAAACACTGCGTTATTTGTGAACATGAGTGACAGGACTAAGGAAGTTCTGATAATAGTTTCATGACCACAGCAATGTTCTGTGATGAGAAAATAAGTGTACCAGAAATATATTCACAGAATGATGACTAAATCTAGAGTTATTTTTTTTTATGTTCTGAATATTCCAGGCACTTGTTTTCTCACCACTGACATTTAATTTTAGCTACCTTTTATTGTTTTACATCTATTTCCTTTCTTAAAAAAAGAATAAGTTTGTTCTAGATGCAAAACCTGCAAATCATTTCCTGACAAAGCCAGTAATTTGGAAAAAGATAAAATGTACTTCATTTTTTTAAAAAAAAATAATGCATCAGCCTATTTAGTGCTCTAGTCCTTGGTTTTCCCATTTTTGTTTGTTCTGTATTTAGAAAGACCAAAGAAAAAATTTAGATACTTCACTTTAAAAAAAAATCTCCATAGCAATAAGGCTACAGTTTTGTTTGAACTTATTTCAAACTCAGTCTCGCTCTGTGCTTACACATATATGTACACACGCGTGCACACACACACATACACACACACACATACACACACACAAGACAGAAAGCATAAAGAAAGGATATTTACTCTATGGCTTTCAATTTTTAAGAAGTGTGAAAAATGACCTATTTCAGGTTAAAAACATAACCCCAGCATATTTGGATGTTCTTTTTTGATAAGTTCTAGATATTCTGCTTGAAATATGATTAATATCCTGTGCAGCAGAAGAAAGAGAAGATTCTAAATAATTGCACACAAACAGTGCTAAGGACTCTTGAGTAGACAGACTGCAGATACTTCTGGAAAGGGGAAGAAGGTATACAAGATGGATTTTTTTTTTTTTTTTTTATGCTCACCAAAGAAAGGCAAAGAGAATGAAGGACCTGAGAGAAAGAAGATGGATGCCTGAGTAAAGAACAAAAGCCATTTCTTAGCAAACCTGGGACAGGTAACTATTGGTTTTCAAGTCAGGCAATGACAGCCTTTCTATATTCTATGATTTTTTTTTTACCAACCCAGATACAATTTACAACTGAATACAGGCAATTAGTTTGAATGGCAGTTGCTAAAGACTGCAGGAGAAAGAAAAGACTGGTGGGGCCTGGGCCAATTCAACCTAGAGGAGGTTTTCCTGTTGGAAGCAGCAGGAGCAAACCCAGGAGACCCTGGTAGTAGTGTGCTGGTACAGGTAAGAGAATCCAGTGACAGAGGAAGCCCAGACACCTTGAGTTCAAAGCCCAGTGAGAGAAAAGGACTAAGTGCAGAGTGCTCATTCCTGTCAAAAACATGACATTAGATAAAAAACTGCTCCACAATCTGTATCAGCATGTATAAGGGGTAGCAGACTTTGTTATTTATTTCAGGGAATCAATCAATCAATCAATAATAAATGACTAAATACGACCTTTCCTTACAAGGAACTTATAAACATGCTGCTAACAAGGAAATGAACCTGAGGGCAATCCACATAAGAACAGCAGTCATATGATCTTGGTTCCTAACACCAAAGAATTAATTTCTGCCACATGCTTGGCACAAACTTATATAGCGAAGGGTGAGAGCTGTGGTTTCTGGGAGTTCACATCAATGACAGTGAAAAATGAGTCCAGGCCAGAGGAGGCCAACTGCCAGTTTCAACAGTAGAGATCAGATGAGAGATTAGGTAGATATATACATACTTACATGCACACCCCCCATATGATTGACATATGGATATAGATATAGCACATCCATATATATATATATGCACATATATATATATATACATGCACATGCCTATTTTCAATTTATAAAAATAAATGCATTCTAGAAAGAAGAAACATCATAACTCACCTTGCATCTCACCACTCAACTACATTATAAAACACAGTAATACGTTTTCCTTCTGGTCTAGGGATATTTAAATGTCTAGCATTTGTCAGATCAGACAAATGTGTGTGGAGAAACCGTTCAACAGTGTTATTATATCCTTTTCCTTAGTTGAGATCCTTTCAAAAGAGATATTTTGATAACAGCTCTAAGTGACTCCATCCAATGAATAAGAATTGGGACTTGGCACCAGCAGCACTCCTTTTTCTATAAACAAGATTATAGATGATAATATACACATACCCATGCACAACCATGCTATCATTACAAATAATATTCCTGCATTATACCCTAAAAATACTCTATTGAGCCTTTTTGAAACACTCTGTAATTTTCCTTAAAACAAACCACTCAAAACAAATGTTTAATATGTGTTTTTTTTTTTCCCTGCAAGTCCTCTATCTCAATTAAAAGTGAAAGAATTTAAGCCAAGAGAGTCAGATCAGACTTTGATCCAGTGCCCAGAGTAATGAATACAATCCTGGTCTTCTTGTAATTTCCTTTATAGTGCTTACAATAATCCAAATAAAATAAAAGCAATCCAAAAATCCTCCTTAGAAGTATCTAATCTGGAGCTTTCAAATGGTTTTCAATAAAACGATTTTTCCTTCTTTTCCCTCAAGCTTATGGCATTTTCAAAATGCCTCAATCAAACACCATACTTTGAGAATGTGCCATATGTTTTATGAAAATTCAGCAATTATTCAAGTCACTACTTTACTATAGTTTTTGTGTTCTCTGAATTTCCCAATTACTAGTAGAACTATATATGCAAGAAGATGGAGTCAGATCGTTTTTTATGAGATACTCATCCAGCGTCGCATTTGCAAACTTAGATAATTGAAGAAACACTCTGGAATGATCTAAATTCAACCTTGGATCTATTGCAAGATGGTTCCATTCCCCACCCCAGCCCCCAGTCACTAATAAAGTCCTCTCAGGAAGTGACTCATCACTGCCGAGCTTTGTAAGGCAAGGATTCTCCACCACAGCCCTGCTGACATTTTCAACAAGATAACCCTCTGCTGGGAGGGGCTGTCCTGTGCCTCTGGGGAATATAAGCAGCATTTGTGGTCTGTACCTACTAGAACCAGTAACATCCCCCTTCCTCCTTATGTCATGATAATCAAAATGTCTTCAGATGCTGTCAATGTTGCTTCCTCAGGGGCATGGACAAAATTGCCTCTTATTTAGAAGTTTCCTCTACAAAGCAAATGTTCCTCAGTTTTTCAAAAACAATTTTCCAAAACCATTCTGGGTCTATTATCCCTAAAATACATAAAACTTTGCTCTGTTTTTACTTCCTCTTCATTATTGCTGTTTTTTTTTTTTTTTTTTAATTCCTTACAAGAGTTGGGAGAAGTTCTAAGGTGAGAGAGCCACTTCTATATAGAAGAATCCACTGTCTCTCACTGGATTGCTCAAATTCCTAGAATATCTTTGGATGCAAAACAAAACTGTTTTTACATAAACTAGGAATTGGGTCTGAGAAATACAAGGTTTTAATTAGTATACACCAGCTCATTGCACTATGGTATCTGATATTTCTTCCCAGGAATACATAAGAATTACCATGGTCAGGGAAAAAGGACAGAGAGAAAATTGGATCTTCTGCAACGTTTCTGTATTGGTATAGATATGGAAATATAAATGAACTGTAGCCTATCCCTCCTAAACAAAGATGCTGCACTGCATTCATGCATTCATCCCTCCTATTCAGGTATTTTCAGAAAACTTACTAGCAAATTCATAAAATCAAACACAACAACAAACCACTGATAATCTTGCATCTCTGTTAAAATAGGTCATAACTAACCTGTGTGTGGATTAAGGAGGATGCTTCCGGGCGGGATGCCTGTTGCAGCTTCAAGTGGAAGGAGGATGTAGCTGGTGCTGCTGGGAGGGACCTGGCCCCCCACTGCATTCTCTGGGTAGGGCACACAGCCAGGAGATCCAGCTGCCATGCCCGAGACCAGGGGTGTGCTCTGGAGAGGTGGATGGGTACGGGACAGCGATCCTGAAGAGCCTGCGCTGCTGGAAGACTCAGAACCTGGCATAGCGATAGGAATCAACAAGTCATTTGGTACACAACACAGAGGAGAGAGAACGTGGATCTTTGTTTAAAGGCTTACTTTTCTGTAACCCATCGTTAAAGTAACTGAGGTGCTTGCCTCAGGACAAGATTAATAATGTTTAACTAAATACTGGGCCCACATTTCATTGAAATCATTGCTACATATTTTTCATGGGTCTATTTTCTGAGGAAAGAGGCATTAAGATGAGCACTCTTAGCTGTCAGCTTTCTCACATACCACTGGAGTAATAAATTGGGAGATGGTATCTTGAAGCTCTGAACTCAGTACTTGTGAATTCTCATATCCTTGAAGAACTAGTGCCATAGAGATATCTCAATTAGTTGCAGTGGTAACATGAGTAGGATAGGGGTTGAAGACAATGCAGCCTAAGAAGGAATCCTAGTACATCCTGAATATGTGCATGGTTCTAAAGTACTGTTTCTTCAACACCCAGCTGAGTTTTGAAAGGGAATCATCAGGAACAACCTTTTTCTCTCATTCGTGAGTAGAAAAACTAGATCATTCCTCTTGGGAGCATAGCATGAAAGAATGAACAAATTTAAAAAGCAAATAGCATCTTTTTTTTCAAGGAATGGAATGGTTTAGGAGAATATGTACAGGACTGAAAGTGTCAGGGAGGCATGGATAAATCTGGATGCTGACTCTTTCTAACCAGCTGACCAGGGGAAACTTTTAAACTACTGAAAATTAATTTTTGTTTGTAGAATGATAGAACAACATAGAATTTAAGGATATAAGTTAAAAAAAAATGGGAGAAACCAAATATTGGGCTTGGTATAAACAGATGGTGGGCATTATTATTAGTGTTAACAAGACATATTTAAGTGCTTAAATTTTGTACTGTATTCCACATATTTGAAGAACTCTTATTAACGTAGTCGATGGCTGGAATAAGGACAACTTGGCCTTCATAATGATCAAGCATCATTCAGTTGGAATTGAGTATTCTCAATTCTCAATTCTCAGAAGAGTAAAAATATAGGGGATCTTTATGTGTTTCCAAAATATGAAGACAACTGGGACAACGTGTAGAATCCACCAAGTAGAAATGATCCCTAATCATATAGTGTCTCCCTCAACTGTAAACAAAAAAAGAAAACATCTGTCATATCCCAGGTCTACTGGACACTCTCTGTCTTTCAATGCAGCAAAAGCCAAACAGCTCCAGCAGCATCAAACATAGCTGTTCTGGGTACTAAGTATTAACCAGAGCATTAGAGAGAAGATACACCAAACTAAATTCCCATTATTGTAAATTCAAGCTAATAGGTGATCTGGATGATAACATGGTTTGCAAAATGTAGTAAAAACATTTATTAAATCATCCCACAACTATCGATTTGTGTCATTCAAAATATATTCCTCTGTGTCATAAAAGATCAAAAAATACAAGCAATAGTTATCATTCTTTTCAAGATTCTGAAAATACCCTCTTAGCTTAACTGGAGACTTTCTAAAATAAGTGAAAAGTGGATAGGACTATGACATGAAATTGCAGAGAAGAGGGGCAATTGGAAAGTCAGGCAACTTTCAAGAAGGAAAACAGTAGTATTTATCAAGCACTTAGTATGTGTAAGCACCTGGATAAACATTTTAATAATAATTACTACTACTAGTACCTGTATAGATAAGGAAAGTGAACATAGAGAAGTTGATAACCTAAGTCAGCTCATGGAGCTAGATAATGTCAGAGCTGGGAATGTCTGATCTAGGAAGACAGCCTCACCTTTCATGATGACTCTTCACTGCCTCCCCAAAGTGTGCAAGGGAGATGCTTAAAGTCATGTAACATTGATTTCACTTATCTCCAGGCTGAGGAGTTAGACAGCGAGAGGAGAGGAGCTGGGGCCAAGGATGCACCTTCAAAATCTGAGTTAAGGTGTGGGCTAGGGCTGGCTTGGGTATGTGTTGGGGGAAGGTGCATCCAGAAAATGAACAACCAAAGCCAAATCCAAAGAGTGAGTTCATTTTGGCTTCAGAAAAATGACCATTAACCATTAATGACAATATTTTCCTCTGTCACTTGGGGGAAAAGTAACAGCATCAATAGAAAAGAGCGGGAAACAATTCAAATGATTTGATGTTGTAGGTGGTAAGAAAGAAGAAGATTAAAGTTGAATTAAGTTGTCAACACTTGCAATCTAGACATAAAAACCAAAGATCCTCAGAGGGAAGCTCAGCAATAAACATGAAGCTAAGGCTTTTTAACTGGCCTTTCAGTTTGGTGCATAACCATCTGTGTCTGCCTTGTAAGCATCTTATCAGCTAGAATCTGTAGAGCTGTAGTCTACTCAAAGTCAGCCCAGCTTTAATGCGGGATTTATTAACAATAATAATAAAATGCAAAGATTAGATGTATTCAAATGGTTAAAATCCATTGGAATTGATATTTAAAAATTTTAGGATTTTGGTTGCTGCAAGTTGAAAGTGTTCCAGTTTTCCCTTGTTCAGAGGCTTAAGGATGGCCTTGGTCAGTATATAAATGGTATGTCAGTATTTAAATGGTACATGCAACAAACAGGGTGCTAATCACTCCTTATGACTGTCTGGTTTAATTTTGACAGCAACCTCATTTGAAAATGAGAGCTGATCCCCAGGCAGGCTAAATGCATTTTCCAAGGCCCACATAGTGTGTGGTGGAGTCTCAGTTCAAACCTCGGCAACTTGACTACATGGACCAAGTTCTAAGTCTCTAGGTTATTCGTTCACCATCATGTCACATATGTGAGAGCCAGGGTCCTGACCAAGCCAGTGCCAAGTACTTCCAGACACAGAAATTTGATGTTAAGCATCAGACAGAGCACCAATTTTCCAGGATATATAAAGAACTCAAAAAAACTTAACACCAAAAAAAAAAAAAAAACCCAAACAACCCAATCAATAAATGGGCTAAGGAGCTTGAACAGACACTTCTCAGAAGACAATATACAATCGATCAACAAATGTATGAAACAATGTTCAACATCTCAAGTAATTAAAGAAATGCAAATCAAAACTACTCTTAAGATTTCATCTCACTCTAGTCAGAATGGCAGTTATCAATAATACAAACAAAAATAAGTGTTGGCAAGGATGTGGGGGGAAAGGCATGCTCATACATTGCTGGTGGGACTGCAAATTGGTACAGCCAATCTGGAAAGCAGTATGGAGATTCCTTAGAAAACTTGGAATGGAACCACCATTTGACCCAGCTATTCCAGGACTTACAAACAGCATACTGCAGTGATGCAGCCACGTCAATGTTCATAGTAACTCAGTTCACAATAGCCAAACTGTGGAACCAACCTTGATACCCTTCAATAGATGAATGGATAAAGAAACTGTGGTATATATACACTACTGTATATTACTCAGCAATGAAAGAGAATAAAATCATGACATTTGCAGGTAAATGGATTGATTTAGAGAATATCATGCTAAGTGAAGTAAGCTAATCCCCCAAAAAACAAAGGTAAATGTTGTCTCTGATAAGTGGATGCTAATCTAGAATATGGAAGCAGGGGTGAGGAGGGTGAGTAGGGGGCACACACTCATACATTGCTGGTGAACTCACTCTTTGGATTTGGGCGTGGGATGAGTGGAGGAACTTTGGTTGGGGCACAGGGGAGAAGGGGAGGGAGCATGGGGGTAAGAAAGGTAGTAGAATGGGAGATGGACATGTACATGTATAATCGCACGAATGGTGTGACCCTACTTTGGGTACAACCAGAGAAATAAAAAAATTGTGCTCCATTTCTACAATGAATCAAGGCGCATTTTGCTGTCATGTATAACTGATTAGAATGAATGAATCAATAAATAATTAAATAAATTCGATGTTAGGGCAGTTTAGGATAGGAAAAGGGAGAATACATCAGAGTGGCTAGGTGACTCAGATGAACTCTCAAGAGAAACAGAAGAAAAAAGGGGAAATGGAAACAGAGGAGAAAAGAGATCACAAGGCAAAGAAAAAATACAAACCAATAGGAGGACTGGGTTGGAGGCAGCAGCAGGAGCTGATTCCATGGGGCAGGGTTGGGGGTTGGGAGATGAGGAGGGGAGCAGTGTAGAGGACAGGGTCCTGGGTTTAGTTTCTTGTCTGCTTCTTTCTAGCTTAGCCTTCTTTGGGAAATGATTCCTCCTTTGACCTCAGAATACTTTTCTGTGAAATGCAAGCCCTATACTAAATACAAGAGGAACAGTGAAAAAGAAGGTGGTTTAAAGTTTCCCTTACTTGACCCAAACCGAGGCAGGTTCCTTCCAAGCCCCTCACCTCACCTTTATTAAAGTATTTCTTGTGCCTTTAATACATAAATCTCTCCTCTCTAACTTCCCCATGCTCATCCCAACGCTTAAAATCTCTCCCACTTTGATTTCAGTGGAGCTATTTCGGTTTCCCCTATGGGGACTGCCTTAACCCTTATTGTAAGAGCTATCAACAAAGTTTCCGTTGCTTATTTAACCCATGCAGAACTAATTTTCTTTAACAAGGATCCCAAACCACAAAGGTTCTTTTTTTTTCTGAATTAATAATTCAAGAAAATATTTCCAGATCAGGGCAGGGAGGGTGTGCACACAGTCAGTAGAAGAACCCATGGTTTCCAAAATGACAGCAGAAAGAAAGTTTACCAGCATAGTACATATTAGCATAATATTAGGATGCATTAGCAATAGCAAGAAAGATGAACAAAAAGAGGAAGTAGGGAAAGGAAATTTTACTCTATGCAGAAACAGTATGTAGACAAGGAATGTGAAAACAGGGAGGACACCAGAGCATCTGGAAAACCACTGGCCATGACACCGAAAATTATTAAAGCCAAAGGACATCTTGTATCTCTACAAAAGCTATTTGCAAAGTGTGGTTGCTCAACAAAGAGCACTGTCTATTATCTGGAAAGTTAAACATGCACATTTCTGGGCCCCACTCCTCAGCTGCTGCCTCAGAATCTCTGGGGCAGGACCTACAGTCTGTGATTTAACAAGTCCTTCAGCTGATTCAGGTGCAGCTAAAGTGGAGAACCCCTGTTCCGGAGTGAAATGGTGGATGATAATAAAACAGTAGTGTTTGACCAATATAAGAAGAAATCAATTCAGTCCTATTTCTCAACTATATTGCCATTACCAAGAAAAAGTGAAGTTGCAATACAAACATCATTCAAGTGCTCTTCATAAGGACAATGTAATGGCAACATGACCCCCACAGATGCATGCCAGACATGTGGATGTGCTTGTACTTTCAGTCCTCAGTAAGATGCTTTCAACTAAAATGTACGAAAGCATGCTTCTGGCATGGAAAAAAAAGTCTCATTATTACCTATTTAAAGCTGAAACCCATGTAATTAAAAGAGGGGAAGAGTAACTTAAATGTCATACTCTAGACTCAGTCTCTGAAAGTTTTTTAAAAAGTTTGCAATTCTACCTGAACAATGAAGTAAAAGGAAAAAAAAAGAAGAAGAAGAAGAAGAAAGAAAAGAAACTTGTGCTGATCTGAAGCTCTGTGACAGCAAAACTGACAGCTTTACTTCATAAAACCATCTTGGGAAATTGTAAGTTTGTTTTGACATCCTATCTTGAGCTTCTTTTAAAAAAAAATTTTCCCCATTTCCATGCCTACACCTTGACAAGCTTTCAAATGGAGACACTTAAATTTAAAAGGGGAAAAATATATATATTGAGCACTTACAATCTCTAATCATTCTTCAAAGAACATGGCATTTTAGCATTCTTCAAGTGTATTAAATGTTTCCAAAGAGCTTTGCTAGGGATGTGTGACTGGGGGTTGGTGCGTGGAAAATGATGATTAATTTTAAAATCTTAAGAGCTCTTTTGGTGAACTGGAATTTTTAAGTGCACTATTTAAGATACTTGGTTTCTGCATTTTAAGGTTTAAAAGTATTTAACCTTTCTTAGTTTATGAGAGCTCAAGAGCACCACAGTGGATTTTCTTGACTTCAGCTGCTGCAGTAGTGGGATACGAGAACAATTAATTAGAGTAAGAAATCAAGAACTCAACAACTGATGAACAGAATTCACAGGAAGAGAGCATGAGTCCCCTGGATCTTTCTAAGAAGCACCACTTAAGTATATTGTAGTGACTGTCAATTGTATGAATGCTATTCATTTTCTTATTATGTGGGAAAACATAGGATAATTTTGTGGGAGGAATATGTCAACAAAATAATCATGTTAAACCATCAGTGTAATGAAGGGATTTTGCAGAATCCCTTCCTCACCTGCCCTAGCCCAAGTGCAAAGTATGGCAGGGAAAGGATTCCCAATGCAGGGCAGCCCATGTCTATACACTCCAACTGGGGTCTCCATTCATCATTACCATCCCTGCCCAAGTTTCCACTCACCTGCAACCCGAGGCCCAGGAATGTTCCCCCAGCATGTCCTAACACCTAAGGCAGATCATTGAACCACAGTTCTCAGCTCGTGCCCCTAGTAATAGTTGGGGAGTCTGCTTTTCCTCAGTTCTCAACTCCCGCCCCTAGTAATAGTCAGGGAGTCTGCTTTTCGAAGGCAAAACCAAGTGTCATGCTTCCATCAATTTAAAACTGGGTCAAATAGTTCTTGATCCTGGTTCTCCTGGATCTCCCATTATCACTCACCTCCTAAAGACTGTCCATGTTAACTTGAATGATATACCTAACTCAAAGTATCACTATTGCCCAGGGTGGTGGTGTATGCCTCTAAGTCCAACCACTCAGAAGATGGAGGCAGAAGGACCACAAGTGTGAGGCCAGCCTGGGCACCTTAGTGAGACCCTCTCAAAAAAAAAAAAAAGAGAGAGAGAGAGAGAGAGAGAGAGAGAGAAAAGAAAAGAAAGAGCTGAGAATGTAGCTCAGTGTAGGGCACTGATTTAGCATTTGTAAGGTCCCAGATTCAATCCCAAGTACCCCCCCTCCACACACACACACACACAAAATAAATAAATGAATAAAAACTAAAACTAAAAAAAACCAACATATATGATATATAATACATATTTTTGCATGTATATACATATATATCACTTTATCTATCTATATCACCGTATCTACATGTATAAATCTATATCCATCTAACTATATAAAATTATTTATTTGGGAAGAAAAAAAATCACAGAAATAAAAAAGGCACATACTCAGAAAATCTAAACCTCTCTAAGACTCACTTAAATGTAAAACAGGCATGAAAATATTAAATGGCAATAATAAAAATGAATGAGTGTTTACTGGGTACTTATAATGCTCCAGGTATTATTCAAGTGGCTTTGAAAATCTTTATGTTTTTAGTCTTGATAACCTTACAACATTGATACTATTATTTCCATATCTCAAATGAGGAAACAGGCAGACAGAGGCAAGTGACTTACTCAGTATCATACTGACAGTATGTTGATGCAAGAATCAAATCTACAAATATTTTAATATGGGTAGCTGCAAGGAATAAGTTTTAGTATTCAATTGAAAAACAATAGCTAACTTTAGTTAAATAGTTGCTATGTGTAAGAGCCATGGTAATCATTTTTATGAAAGTTATCTAATTTCAACTTCATTTAAGTTTACCGGGAAAACTTAAGTAAGTAACTAAATGTAAATGAAGTAAATTTGAAGCCTACTGATGTGGGTTCAAGTAATATTCTATGATAACCTACATTTTATAGATAAGGAAACTGAAGATTAAAGAGTTCAAGAACTTGACTTAGGTGCACAGCAAGAGAGGGTAGCCTATTAAAACCGTACCTTCTAATTGCCTAGAATGTGATGTAATCAATGTCATTGTTATTAGTTAATTCAAAGACAGAATGGTGACAGGAAGGGTTAGGTAGAATCCCAAAACAACAGAGGACATAAACCCATTCAGTACTAACTACCTGTTTTGGACAGCTTCCCAGAACTTCTGGTACTGGATGTGCTGTCACCCCTGGTCAGCACCGTGATGCCCCCAAAACTCGCCGTCTTGGTCATAGTGGGCTTCAGATTGCGGTTGGAGCTGTCGGAATCTGTGCTGCTCCAGGCCCTCTGGTGGTCCGACCACTTGAGTTCATTCTCCGAGCTGCTCTGCCGACTCCCAGATGTTCTCCCTGAGCTATCTCTGTTGCCCCTGGAGCATGGCCATCAGAAAGACGCACAGGAACAGAGTTACGGTGCATGAATGGGGTGGGTGGGCATAGATGGGGCCTTTCTTGGAAGAGTCATCTATGCAAGACCCTTCTTGTTAACCCTTTAATTAAGCCACTAGCTCCCCCAAACACTGCTACAAGCACCTTGATGATGTATAGACAGATAACACATCACATATGACACACATGTCACAAACAGAAAAACCAAACCTAGGAATGTCACATGATCCTTCTGCCAGGGAAGAAGAAGTAACTAGAAAAACATGGCATAGAATATAATTGTTAGCTTCTCTTGCAGAGAGGATAGGGGGATAAGTTCTCGTGAGCCAATCCAACAATGAATTCGTGTTCAGAGGTAACTATAATTTTAAATGCTTCTAAAAGGAATTCCCATGAAAGAAGGGTATTCTTTTTTTTTTTTCTGTTTCTTCAGCAGCGAATAATTGGCTTGGAAAATCCATACAGGTCCAGAAAAGCTACTTATTAGTCTGTTTTACAACTTTATGATACGTATCTGAACTCACAAAGGATATGACAGACAGCACAGAAGTCACAGAAATTGCTAACCCCTGGTAAGAATTACACCTGATGAGTTTAACCTTCATGGTAGAGGAAATAGCCTTTTAATCCTTTTCATACAGAAAAGCCTGTGAAAACAACAGTGTCAACACTATACGCCACACACTGACAAGAAGCTTTCCAGAGGGGTCAGTGGAAATACCAGAAATATCTTGAAGTGAAAGATCATACTTGCTCAAAATTCAAATACAGTGAATGCACTAGAAGTAATCCAATAGCCAGAAGTGAATCTTGAAACCTCCAGAGTCATTTAAAGAGTATGCAAAGCTGCATGTGTTCTATTAAGAAACTTGATAAAAAACAATTGCATTTTCATTGGTTTCCAATGTGCTCAAAAAGTAACTTCGTTAATACTTCTGACACTTTTTCTGAAGATGGAAATAAGCCATGGATAAAATATCCTAAGATTCTTGTAGATTGTAAAGAAGTGAAAGGGGACATATATCATGGGCAATAAATATGGCCCTTAATTTTATATCAGTATAAAATGTGACACGTTCAAGTCCTGAATCCAGTCTCATAACTGTGACCCAGGAGCTTTGTTAAAAATATTCTTTTAAAGACAATAATTTTATTGCTATTGAGATATACTAGAGGTATGCATAGCTCATTTAAACACTCACCAATTACACTCTGCAGAAGGTGCACAGAAATTTAGGTTTTGCTTCAAATGGATCCAAGAGATAATAAAAATGAAATAGCTAATCTGTGACAGGAATTTCATCAAGCAAGGGGAGAAAGTGAAACAGAAAACTCACAAAACAAAAAAACATTTTCAAAGAGAACACTGGATGAAAACACTCCATGCCCTGCCACCTGCCCCCTTCCCTATGGATGTTTCCTTACATTCTCTGTTCTCAGAACCTCGGGTCCTTGGTTTAGAAATAAGAACCATCTGAAAAAGACCAGGCTCCAGGAGGAAGTACCCTCAGCAATGGCCAGGTAATTTTAGTTCTTACATTCCTTCAAAATATAAGAAAGCCATGGGAGATAGGATATAGAAAAACTGCCCTTTCAAGAACTTGATGCTCCATTCTTGATAGTTTTTCTTTCCATGTCCAAATTCAATGTCATTCTTCTCCTGTGTAATTCTGATTATGTTGCTCCTTCTTTGACAAGGTCTGGCTAAATCATTACTTAGCAATTATGAATTCACCAGGTATATGAGAATAATCTCATTTGTAGTTAATTTGGAATATTTATTATAGAAAAACACTGGCTTGCATGTGGGATGGTCCCTAACCTCAGGATGTAGGATACATCAGAAGAAATGAGTAGTGAACCCTTGTTCCCATCACTATTTCTGCTTCAAAATGCCTCTCCCCATGACCTGTGCACATACATGTGAGGAATCCAGACTTCTATATGTCAGCATAGCTGAAATTTCTTTGCAAAGGAGGTAAGCACCACTCTCCCTGGATGCAAATTGGTCCTACGTTGTACTCTACACCCTTCCACCTGGTAGAGCTATTTCTAGAGAGAAGAGAGGTCTTCTAGACTGGCCTCATCACTTGGTCAGTAAGACAACCTGAGATTTTCTTAGCTTTATTACTTTGATTACTGACTCAACTCATCATCCCAAGCCAAGATCTGTACATTTTAAAAATAAGTTGCTACTTCCGGGAGTTAGCATTAATGAGATTCAAAATAGCATGTGAATCTATTTTATGGTTGTAGGTATTCACACACTGAAACATATTTTGTACTACTCTATTCATTGATTATTTAGCCCAACAATGGCAGGGTGATGCCCAGAGTTGAATTTCATATCTGTCAGAGTGTGAAATCATAGACTTTATAGAAAACATGTCTGACAGGTGTTTCCCTTTCCCTCTTAAATTCAGTGCTGGACCCCTCTAACTAGAATCTAGGAAAACAGTAGGAATAGAATATCCAGTCATTGGAGGTGGCCCTTTCATAGGCAACTAGAATTTAAACCTAAGAGAGACACAAAGCACATACTCTAAAATCATTCTGTGACGATTAACAACTGATGTGTCCATTTTCTTACATTTCTGAACATTGTAAATTTTTTTTGCCCAAGTTATGGATGATGTACACTCTGGATTGCCTTCACAACTGTGTAGGTGGCTTTGTGCTAAGTTGTCTTTCTGAGTTTCTGTCCTTGGTCATTTTGGTAGGTGATGGAATCTATGTTTAGGATGGCTGACCTAAATATAGTGCAACTCCTCAAAGGGGGAAGTTTGGGGCCTGTGTAAACCTAACATCTTCTTGGGGGTGAAATGCATGTTTTTATCTATATTAGCCTATACAAATTAATTCATAGCGTGATTATAAGGGTAATGGTAAATTTTATTTTTTCTCTGGGTTTTCAAGAAAGAGATGCAGGATTTTTTTTCTGCCCTAGTGTAGAGGAATCAATTGTTCTGATTTCACTAAATTCAGATATAATGGCATAAAGATAATTTCTGAACACCCAATTTATCTATATTTCTTAGTATTTTCTTTCTTCTTAATCGGAAACTTTTTTTTGTTTTTGCCTTTCCTGTAGCAGAGAGGTATCCTACTATTTACAAATATGTTAATATATTTGATAGGTTGGTTAAAAATAAAAATAGGTGTGGTCCCTCTGTTTTTATGGAGCTTTCATCTGAACACAGAACTTTAAAATAATTTTTTTTTATCTTTTCCCATTATCCTACACAGATCTCAATTTAAGTAGCTCACTATAATTGGAAGGAACATCATAGCCTCCTTTAGAAATAAAATTCGTGCTTAAAAATACATTTGAATCTTATGAGGGAAAGTAGAGACCTAAAAATTAGTTAACCAAATAGTTATCATTGATATACTTTCCAGCACTGAAAATATGTACTCGATTTCAAACTGCCAGAGAAATTTTAACTTGGTATAATTTGCTGAAAGAGTTTGGGAATGCTAAATAAGTGTGCTGCCAAAGTGAGTCCCGAAACACACAAAATCAGCAGAAGAACCTTGGAGAACCACGTAGGAAGGGAGAGCTTTCCAGTCCCACCTCTCACATGATCCATAGGATACCACACTAGCTGGGTAACAGACTCTGCAGTGAGAGCACGGAACATGTTTTATTTCATGAACGGAAATATTTTACACTAATACACTTATATTTAACATGGATTCTGCCACATAATCTGAAAACACAGTTTAAAAAAGTAAACCATACCAACCGAAAGAGCTGTCTTTTCTTATAGGTCTCATTGCATATGTTACTGTCTTCCAAGAGCCTACTGGAAATGAAAAACATGGTTTTTATGATATAAAACCTAAGGATACTAAATGCCTTATGTTAAATGGATGTGTACTCTGCTATAGCACACCTTTATGGTAAATTCCCACACACTACGTTCATTTGTGCGACATTAAGTTTGGTCATAATAAATTAATGACAGTGTGACAGAATTAAGACCCCTACCCTAGGAAGAAGGCACAGATGCCAGAAAAGAAAGAAGGGAAAGAGAGAAGAAATATAGGACACAGAAGGAGTGAGGATAATGAAAGAAATCACTATAAATATGATAAGAGATTTAACAAAACATATAAGTAGTGGTTTCTTTCTTAAGTAATATTAAGTTATTTTTATTTGGGGAGCATGATGAAATATTGACATTCCAGAGGCAATAATTTTAGAAATAGATTTCTTTTTAAAGGAAAACCACTCAATTCTAGAACCACCAAGACTTCACATATGCAATGTGTATATGTGCGCTATTCTTGTAATGTTGAATAGAAGCCAATTGGTGAATAGAATTAAGTTGTAAGGTAGGGGAAATTACTGGTTAGAAGACTAAGGAATAAGGTTTCCCACCCAAATAAATTGCAAATGCTTACTTAATACTTAATTTTTTTTGTATGGATATAGAATTTGGAATGCTTTAGAATCATTACCAAAATGTTAATGCTCCTGGATTCAGTTTCCCTAAAAATAGGAAAATTTGCCAAATTCTGTATGAATCATATTTTTTTAAAATACAAGATCATATAGACTTATTTTATAATACTTTTTAAGATAAAAGAAAATTACGTGAAGATTTCAGTTGCGTGAAGATTTCCAAGTGCTCATATAGTGTTTTTTTTTTTTCAATCAGTTATCTCTAATGCCGAGTTTTAATTTATCTTGGTACTGGCATTGAATTAGTCTCCATTTTAACCAATTTTAGTGGAACAGTCATTAAGCCAATACCTGAAATAAAATTCACCAACAACTTATTTATGAATACTATATTTCTAAATCAAGTTGTAGATTTTAATACATCTTAAATGTGATTAGTCTTGTTAATATGGATTCCTTAATTTCTCCTGAATATTTTCAATTAAATCAAGGGGACACTTTAATATCTATGTTGATTTAGGTCCATTTTAAAAAGGTACTTTTAGAAAGATATATGTTAAGTGTGAAAAATGTCTAGTCTTATTCCAAAGATACACTATAAATTCATAACTACCTCCCTCTACTAACTTCCAAGACAGGTGAACTGCTACATCCAGACAGTTCTGCTTGCTTGCTTGCTTGCTTGCTTGCTTCCTTTGTCTTTGTACCAGGGTTTGAACCCATGGGTGCTTAACCACTGAGCCACATCCACAGGCCTTTTTATTTATTTATTTAATTTTTTAATATAGAGACACAGACTCACTGAGTTACTTAAGGCCATGCTACATCACTGAGGCTGGCTTTGAACTTCAAATCCTCCTGCCTCAGCCTTCTGAGCTGCTGGAATTATAGGTATGCACCACCACACCCAGCTCTAGATGAGGTTTTTCATGTTAGCTCTTTAAGAAGATGAACTGATATTTAAGAATGAGAAACTTAAAGTAATATTATTCCAATTATTTTTTTTGTATAGCTATAGAATTATAGGACAGAAGTGACTAATAAAGTCCTATAAGCAGCCTGCTCAGTAAGCCAATGGAGTTGCAAATTCCTGTGTAGACTCAATATTTCCTTGTTTCAATGCCTGGGGAAGGTAACAGGAATTCCGCCTTGGGAAGGACACAGGATTGAGACTAAATAAGGAAACTGTTTAAGCCTCTGTTTGAAAGTAACTGAGAGAACTTTTTCCCCGAATTAAATACTCTTTAGACATGCTAAATAACATAAGTGAATATATGTGTGGGTTTAGACATGTTAAATAACATAAGTGTGAATATATATGCGTGCACATACAGATATATGTATTTATTTATACATATATTCAAGCACAATTATATATGGGATATATATGTGTATGAGAATATACAGGACACACATGACAAACTATTCTTCTAACGACACAAAAAATAAAATTTCATTTTACCTGTTTTCCACATAAAGGCTTTCCTGGGAGCAAACTGACTGAAAAATAAAAGAAAAGCATTGTATCAGATGTTCTGGATATGCTGAGGGGGTCCCAAATCCTTTCTTGATTTTAAAATTACCTTTCCCCTCCTAGGGGAAAAGGATTAAGAAAAATATGTACAAAAGACAGAAATTTAAAAAGGAAAAAATATAGGTTAGTGTTAGAACTGAGTCAACAATTCTCATGTAGCACAGGGGATATCTCCAGGTTTTCAACAGATTGAGCCCCGTTCAGCCTCACGGTGAGAAGAGAAATGTGAATGAAATTGCTGGAGAAACCCATGACCACCTTCAAGAGTCAGAGCAGCGAGTGGTTTCTTCTGGAGCTGTGGAGGTATGGTCACCAACAGAAGCCGGGGAACAGGCTCAAATCAAGGCACAGCATGCAAAGTTGGATGAATCCACCTAAGAATGGGAGAAGTGTGAAGCCACAATTCTGCAATAACATACCTGGCAACTATAAACTCTCACAAAAAAAAAGCGATTAACCACTAGTCTCTCAAAATTGAAGAAATGCCATCTATCTGTGATCATAATAAATAAGGAGGATAGAACACAAGTTTAATGAATCAAACCTAATTAGTAAAAAAAAAAAAAAACTATCAAACTCCATCTGATATTTCTTAGTTATGCACATAGGAAACAAATGACTTTTTTTTTTGGCATCTGTTTGCCTAAAATTCATTTCTCTCTTATCTTGTGGTTAATATACAAGGTGGGGAAGATAGAATTCTGTCAGAATTACATGCTGGGGAATGGTGAATCAGATTAAACTTAAACAAGCAGAATAAGAGGAGTCTAGGAAAACTATGGTGCTGGGACACAAGACCACTTTCAAAGTATTAAATTTCTAAATATAAGTATACAAGCACCATATTATGTGTATATTTTCTAAATGATGAATAAGTGACCATTAAAGGCATAAGTGGAGACATAGCTGGTCTATTTTAAGATAAAATAAAACTGAAGAAATACTAACGACCTTTCAATGAGCCTTGAACTAAAAGATGTTGCTAATGTAACCGCCGCTCAAAGAGGCAAGCAGGATATTGGTTTCTCTTTTCAATTTGCTGGAGAAATCATTTCCTTCCACTAAACCAGAGGGGATGGAGTCAGACATGGTGTTTTGCTCAGTGGTCTGAGCATTCAGTGAAGACATCTCTAGAATCATTTGTTTCAACCTTTCTGTATTGGAAAGGTATCCATAATCTCAGGTGTGCAAAAACCTTAACGTATCAAAAAGCAAAAAGAGCCAATTAAAATCTCTACTTTCAGAAAAATAGCTTTTTGAAATTTGACATTTATACGTAGAAAGTGAGAAAAATACAAATAATGTGCCATCAACTTTATTCCTGTAAAGATCTTTTCAGGGTAAATTAAATACCCTAGCCTCTTTATTTCTGTTAGTTTGGTTTTGCTACCTACCAACTTGAGTCAAGTCATGGTACATAAAAGAAAGTGAGGTTGTTTCAAGGTATACATTATAAGGTCGATACTCTGCTACTTCTCAGCTCAACATCAGTTGGAAAGGGGTCAACTAAGTTTATACTGTTTTGCACGGGACTGGACTTATCGGGAAATCCACTTCTCAGAAGAAGGAGATTTTCAAAAAACATACCGACCTCTTCAGATTTGTGAATCTAACAGCATTTGGGAGGAAATGAAGCAACTCACACTTTTTGAATAAAAAGTAAGATTTTCAAACTCTTTGGATAAAAAGCAAGTCAAGGATACCTCTCCAAAAAACATAACTCAAGAGTATTTTTCTGACTTTTGTGGAAAGGTCCTTAATAAATCATCTCATCACCTCTTTACCACATTTTCATAAATAAGACACAGGTAGTTATTAGCTGTGATTCAATAGCTGATGAAAATAAAACTTTTTTTAAAAAAATTATATTAATAACTTGCACATTTAATAGCAGAGAAGGATAAAATTGTCACAGTAATTAAGTGCAACATTCAAAGCTGTCACTTATATGCATTCCCAGATATAAAAGGCTCCCTTTTCAAAAAAGGAGAAAAATGATTTTGCCTAATGGGTTACAGAGTTCTCTCCCACATCCCACCCCCACCTCTGGTGGCATCACATACATATCCTTGAATCCTTCTCCCTGAAGAGGGATCTCAGTGTGGGCTGGGAAGACCCTGGACAAGCTCTTCCCTAATTTCCAATTTATACACAGATACCTTTTTGCTAATTACCATCCAGGCAAAACATAACTTTCCCAATTGTGTTGTTTTCTCAACCAAATTTCCCCCAATTTAGCAACATCATACAAAATTAACCATTAAAGAAGCTGAAATCCTTGCCAAAGTAAAAGAGTTGGATCCCAAATATTACTGACTATAAAAACATGCTGATTTGTTATTTGAGAGCTAAATTCTTCTGCAATCTGAACACCTATTTAGCTCTCAAATAATTAATAAATGTGTCTGATTTCAAGATACTCAAATTAACAACCTGTATTTGAATTTTTTTTTCTAGAAAAACCACCAAAGAAACTTGCATTTTTGATTATGTGCCTGCATATAAAAGTGCATACACACCCTCACACTCTTCACACACTCACACACACCTTAGACACCAAGATACATATGGAAAATACACAAAAACATCTCTAATTTTAAAATAAGTTTGATTTTCGTTCAACTGTAAATACTAGAAAGTATTTCTCATCTCATTGTTGCTTCAAGTAGCAAAAAAAAAATTACGAATGCTTTTTCAATATTTGAACTGCTTTGACTAACTCTGCTACTTATAATTACCGAAGAAAGCTGATTTTGTTGGCTCAATTTTTAAATTATGAGAAAACTAAATTAAAGATTATCTAAGAAAAAGGTTATACTTCTATAATATAATTTCCTTATGCTGGATTCTTTGCATTTGTTTTATAATTGACCTAACTTACTTTATTACCTTATGAAAGAACAATTCTGTGCCTCAACAGTTTGGGCCGTGATCAGTGATCACTTGGGAACCTAGAAATGTACAGATGAAAGCCCTTTAATATGTGCTGTCATGATATAAGTGGTGAGGGAGATCTGTTATTACATGTGTTATTCAAGAAAGTTTATGTTGCTATGCTACGTCCTTAAAAATTTGTGTCATAGAGGATACAGTACTGTTCTGTTCGTGTAGAGTCGCCCCCAACACTCCCTGCCTCTTAATATTCATGACATTATGTGGGACCTCCAACACTGTTCTGAGGTTAGTATATGTGTCCAATAGACTATGGCAGAAAAGAACATACATTATTGCCGAGACTAGGTTATATAAGACTGTGGCTTCCATCTTTAGATGTCTCTGTTTCTCTCTTGAATCACTTTCTCCAGGGAGAGCTAGTTATCATCCACAAAGACACTAGCAGATTGTGGAAGAGCCCACCTAGTAAAGAACTGAGTCCTCCAGGCTATTGCCAAGGAAGAACGGAGGCCTGCCAATAACCATTTGAGTATATGAGTATGGACACAGGCAGTTACTCAGTAAAGCCTTAAGATGACAGCAGCCCCAGCCTCCAGCTAGACACTTTGAGTTAGAACTACCCAACTGAGTCACTCCCAGGTTCCTGACCCACAGAAATGGAAATAAGCATTTTTGTTTGTTGGAAACTTCAAAATTTTCAGATAATTTGTCATACTGCAATAAATAACTAAAGACCTAGTGGTATACCTAAGTATCTTTAGCAAGGTATAGGGTCAGGTAGAAAGACAATGTACATATAGTCTTTAGGCTTTTAAGGCTTATAAAAACTGGTAGGAATCTAATAAATGATAGGGAATTTCTCCTTGGAAACATGCACACATGTTCATGCACATAACATCTTATAAGTGATATTGGAACTTCCATTTGATTCTGGAAACCCTTCTGTGAGTGTATTTTCGGTATAGGATACTAATTTTAAAGTCCTATCCTTTGATGGCAGGTTCAAAATAGTGCCAGATATGGGACGGTGACCCATTTAAATTATTAAAGCAAGAAATGGTCACCAGAGAGCCTAGGAAAGCAGCTCACATCTCTGTGTCTACAGAGGGAACAAGTCATATCATTTGAAAGAAGGCTGCCAAAGAATGTGGTGCAATGAAAAGGTTAAGGCCCTGGCTGGGAATTTGAGCTTTTTCACAATTAAGTCTTCTTTTACTTTTTAAAAAATGTTAATAGGGCTGGGTGTGTGTCTCAATGGTAGAGTGCTTGCCTGTCATGCGGAAGACATGGGTTCAATCACCAGCTTGTCAATACAAATAAATAAATAAATAGAGCAAGTGGCCATGGAGTCTTTAAATGGCCTGATATGGTTTAACCTACATCATAGGTCCCTAGCAGCTAATTTCTTTAGCAGGGTGGTAAGGAAGTCAGCATAAAGGGGGGTGTGCAGACTCCTGCTCCCTGAGATGACCATGACTGCTCGGGGACCTGAGAATCACTAAGGAAAGGCAGCACAGGCATCATTCTCAGCCCGACAGTCATTTGCAAGAGTACTTTCTGTCACCTATCTCTGTGACACAACTTTTAAAAAAAACGTAATACTGCTATGCATTATGTCTGCAGTTGGTATTTGTTTCTCAATATAACAACTTGTTCACAAATCACCTAACTTTCCAGAACCAAAACATGAGAAAAAAAAAGTGTGTATGTGTGTGCATGAAAGCAATAGTGCATGTAAGAACAGAAGAAGAAAAATGAACTATCTATCTGCAAAAAAAAAAAAAAAAAAAAAAATTCTCTCTGTGAAGGCTTTAGGAACATGCTGCCACCCAGCCTACTGTCGGTATTCTTTTCCAATTGTGACAAAATTAGATCCTCTCATCACTTCATTCTTGTATCTAGCAAATGCAATGAAAACCCCAGTGTGCCAATCTGTGCTTTGTGCCACCAAAAATTATGTCTACAGCAAAAGCCTAAGTAGCCCCTACATCTGCAGAATCTTACAGAACTGCATCCGGACCTCCAGCCATGGAGAGTCCCATCTCACTCTCACACTCTCCCGATTTCAGAGTTCTAGGGCACCCGTCATTAAAATTCTATTTTAGTATATTCTAGAAGGTTGGGGTTGGTTCAAATGTGAAAGAAGTGCAGTTGGAAGAGGTTGAATCACTCCTGTAGCCTTAGATGAAGAAACCAGCACTTGCAGAAGGTCACAGACACTGGCTTGGCCTGAAGCCACCCAGGACAACAGCCCTCCTGCTTCTGTGCTGAGCATTAACGCCAAGCTCTCTAGGCTGGACTGTGTGGTCTCTAGGAGCAAATTGCCGCAGGAGTCAAACACTGCCCCTGCTGAGGCAAAGCTGAAAGCCTTGGCCATGGAGAGCACTACAAAGGAGCTCACATCTTCCCTTCTGCAAAGGAAAGAACCCACAATGTTTGAGGAGGCCCCAAGTGATTTCATGGAATGGAAAGCTACAATGACTACTTGCCCTTTTAAAGTCCTTGCATTTTAACCAAACATTTTCTTGTTTACTTGTTATTTTTATTTCATTTAATTGCATTTTCTCTTGGCCATAGTGGGTGAAGGCTAAAAAAATATTCCTGTCCCATTTTCTTTGTTAGGAACAAAAGAAATTGTTTTATGATTACTTCCTTGACAGACTATTCTCTGACCTGAATGGATCTGAAATCAAGGAAAAAAGATGAATATGATTATCTAACTTCAGGAAAATGAAGTGTCCATATTTTCTAAGGATTCAGAAAATATTCTGGATATTTATATGGTTCTATGTGTGTATATGATCAGTGGGCTGCTTTTTGTGATTCTTTCCTCTGCACAATGTTGGTGTACTAAAATATACACTAACCGGTGATCTGCTGCCTGATATGCATGTAAAAGTACTGCTGCAAGTCAGATATCCTTCCTTGGTACTGAAGGTCTGTTTTGTTGACTAATGTTAAACCTTTCTATCCCTATCAGTCATACCCTAGGAACACACCTAGACCCTTGGCTAGTTTTCCATCACTTCCCTGAACCAAGGTCCTCTTCCAGAAACACCTCTGGTTTGCTGCAATTCGATTTGTTCCCTGGCTCCAGTCTCCTTACTTCCTGCCAGCTCACTGTCTGGGGAATGAGGCTGCCTTACTGCTGATGGAAGGACCACACTAAAGAGGCAATTAAAACAACTACTCACATCGTGTGCAAATATTCTCTCCCTCACTCTCTGATATTCCTCTTCTCTCTCTTCAATTGATTTACTTCGTCTGTCATCTCTAAATGGATGCATTCTGTTTTGCTGAACAGAAAAAAGAAATCAGGACGGTTATCCATGTTGAGTTGTTAGAAATCTGCAGTTAAGCAACTGTCAGCTAAGAATAATAAATGTTCATTTAAACAAATGAAGCATGACAAGTCTCACTCCCTCTGGCCCCTAAAGAGGCTGTTTGGGGTACATGTATCGTGTGTGCGTGGCATGCAATGACTACAAATGTTTGCTGCTGCTCCTGGTTGCTGCCTTGCTGGATGCAAGTAGCACAGGTGCATCTAAAATGTACCTTGGGTGTTCAGCCAGTGCAGGTATGTAGTGGCTCACCCGGGATGGATTCTGTCTCCCTTGCTATCCTGGATAATCTGACTCCTCAGAAGGAGTCCAAATGCTTATTTAAAATTAAAAAAAAAAAAAAAGAAGAAGAAGAAGAAGAAATGGCTAGTTCAAGGTCACCAAAGGAAGAAATAGCTTTGAAAAGTTCAGAACTGGACAAAATGTAAGTGAACAAATAGAGTGGGGGACAGAAAGAAAGATATGGATACAATCTCTTGATTTGCATTTTTATTCACTCAGTGACTGATTCTGTGAATTGCCCTTGATATAAGAAGAAGGACCTCAGGCTTATAAACTAAATCTAACAAAACCTGTTTGTGGATAAGGGTCAGTAGAAGAAAACAATTCAAAGAACCCAGCATGAGGAGTGCTCTTCATTCTCTCATCTGACCAGTTCCTGCATCTCAACTGCCTTCCTAATTTTCGCCATCCCTGACCAAATGCTCTGCACTGACCGCATTCACCCATCCACGCGACAGACACCCACTAAGTGCACCACGCAGGCACATGTCTCATGGGCAACATGAGCCACGTTGTAGCTCGGTGGTGGTGGTGGTGGTAGTGGTGGGAGTAAACGAGATACAAATGATGAACAGGTTTCAAAAAAGTGCGTCAGAAATGCACACACTGGCTTCCAGTGACTCACGGAGAGTAATTAAAATAACTTGAGTGAGATGCATATTGTCTTACCTTTAAAAATTCTAAAGCAAAGTCATTTCCAAAAAAAAAAAAAAATCTATTTTGATTGTCAGAGACACAAAGTATAATTGTAATGGCATTCAGCTGACTTTCTACTGTGCTTGTTATCATTTAAAAATTTGTTTTACTTAGTGTTCTTCCTAGTCACCCTGGACCCCACATCCTCCCCCCACTTAGAGAAAAGATTTCGTAAAGTCTCTTTACCCTTGTCGGAAGTACCATGATTATCGCTACTCTAGAACAACACAATGTTTTGTCACAAACAATACACAAGGATAAAAGTTCTGCTACACTTCATGCAAAACGAGCAGACAGTTTACATGGACCATCAAACATGGGCAGGAGAAGGGGGTGGGAGACTAGAACATGAACTCATAGTCTTTTCTGTGAAGTCTTATTTTAGGATAGTTGCAAAATCCACCTGTCCTCACCATAACAAGGTTTGTTCTTTACAGCTACACCGGTTGATCATCGGTCCGTATTGAAAATCCAGCTCAATTTGTGCACAACTGAAGGACAAAGCTGTAGGGAGTGGAACGACTGCCAGAGTTACACAGACATCTGGAAATGCGACTGACAAAGCTTTTCCCCACAGCTCGGAGCCTGTGGCACCCCGACCCGCTCCCCCCCCACAAGACATGCAGCAGGAACTGCGCCAAGCACCACCCATGCAGCCCAACACAGAGCCATTGCTAAAGCAACCAGACAGTTTTTGGCTACCCATTGAATGCCAAAGGGGGAGGCAAGGGGAAGCCAGGGGTTGGAGAGAGGGCAGTAGTATCAGAGGCAGGGGAGGGCTGGGAGGCGGGGAGGGGACAACAGAGGAACGACAAGAACATCAGTCAGCCCACCTTCAAAAACAACAACGTCAGCCACTCTCAAACTTGAGAACCAACCTGATTGTCTTCTTTATCAATACTAGAGTTATCTCGCTTCAAGATAAACCGCTTCTGGGATTCTTCACCTTTTTCATCTTTTAAATGTTCACAAAACCTTTGCTCTGGTCTGCCAGCAAAGTAAAACATATCAATAAAAAAAGTTTTTCCTCTGTTTAAAGTTATCTCTTAGTGTTTTTCCCCCACCGTGGCATTTAACTTTTTGAAAAAAAAAAAAAAAAAGTTTAGAAGTTGTTCCGATATTAGAGTTGCTGGCAATATACAGGCAGGGATTCTTTACATGTTGCTAGAATAACCTTTTGTTGTTTTGAATTCAGACTCTTGGTTGCTGCATGCTGATCACCATAGCTGAAGTTAAAGAAAAAAAATTTAAAGACCTGCACATTTTAGACTGTATATAGATGTTCTCTTTAGTGATTTTGACCTCCATCACTCCTGAATTCAAACAAATTCCCACTCTGATTCTCAAACAAATATACAGGGTTAGTATCTTAATCCACCAATGTCTGGAAACTTGGAGAATACCTCTCATGATATGTTAAGAGTCTTCTGAGTCTGTAGCAGGAGCTGATCATTTAAAAATTGTTTGTGACAAACGTCCTGGAATCTTGTTCCACTAGATGCTGACATTCTTGACCATGTTTGCAAATCAGCTCAGTAATTGGGGAAATGAGATATTTAGTTTAAACAACTCAATGACTGATTGTATAGGGGAAAAAAATGCTCCAAGCAGTTACACACTATTGATTAGTCAATTGATTTTTTTTTTTTTTAGGTTCTCTTAATCACTTGGTATTATTGAAGGGAAGGGCTCCACTTCTTTGTTAATTTCCCACGATGTCACTATGTACCAGAGAACTCAAGGAATGACTTAGTCTTGGATTCATCCACAGAGGAAGTGCAAAAATATTTGTCCCTAGTTTAGAAGCAGTTGTAATTTATGAATCTCGTTAAAGAATCTCTGTCATGTCTGATATATTACTTCTAAAGCTTAGGGGGGTTCTATCCCTGCTGGGTTCATTATTCCTTTAGTCATTGGGACTCCACTGCAGTGCCTGTTGTTCGAGGTGGGTGACCAGTAATTAAGAAAATCTCATCATTTGATTATACTACAAAATAAGCAAGTAGCACTTTGAAAACAAGGAAGTAGCTTCAGTGTATAATTCAAACCTTGATGAGATGCTTTCTTTTCTTAAATACATGGATATAAATGATAATAACATTGATGAGCAGGTAATAGTAGAAAGCTGCAATAATATCAGTTACCGTTTCTAGAGCTGTTTTATAATTGTTGCAAAGCAGTGCCACTACCTTGTTCAATCCTTATAGTAAAAGCTGGATGCAGTAAAAGCAGACATTTTTGCCTATTTTAAAGAATAGGAAACCATCCCTTAGTGATTCTTTTTACTGTATAGATTGGCCTACTAAGCCACAGGCGTCCAACAGCCTGGTCACATTCTCATAGACACTTGGTTCAGTCCCTTTCTGGTTTCACCATGCACATTGAGCTGACAGAACACAAACCTCTATCACATCACTTTAGTGATCAACGTGAACATTTCCCACCCAACTTAAAATAAAATGTAATCAAATGCAATGCACATTCTGGAATCAGAACTATAACATTAAAAATTGCAACATAAGGGCTAGGGTTGTGGCTCAGTGGTAGAGCACTTGCCTTGCACGTGTGAGGCACTGGGTTCGATCCTCAGCACCACATAAAAATAAATAAACAAAATAAAGATATTATGTCCATATAACTAAAAATAATGTTTAAAAATTGCAACATAAGGAATGAATAAACTGCACTTTATAGTAAAGGAGCCATGTACAGTAGAGAAATAAAACATCATTTGGGGTAGAATAGTCCCAGGACACTTCATGTATATTGGCAAGTCTGACAATAGCTCTGTGTAATTGTGTATAGTTTTGGGTCACACTAGGTGATAAAAATTCTCCAGAAGTTTTTATTATTTTTTTTTAGCTGTCACTTTCAAAAATATTTATACATTGTTATATAGGTTTTTTATAGCAAATGAAATTAGGATGTTGACTTAAATAAGGATGTCGGTTGTATCAATCTTAATTAGGTTTCTTCTCATGTCTCTGGGCTCTGCAGGCTGATAAGCTCTAGTGAACGAAATGATTCGTTTACATTTACAGGGTTTGTTTTTGGTCTTCTTTCTAACATTCTGTAATTGTTCACGTAAAAATAAGGTGGTCTCAGAATGTAGACTTTTTGATTTATGACTATAAGGTGAATGAATATGTTCTAAACTAAGTCTGCTTCAAGATCAACGACATTAGTGTGTGAATTAAGAATGGCAACTAGAACTAGACTTTAAGTTTCATGTACACAAGACTTTGTTTTTTCATTTTTGTGTTTTTGGTCCTGGGGACTGAACCCAGGGGTGCTGTACTACAGAGCTATATTCCCATTCCTTCTAATTTTTTATTTTTATTTTTAGTTGCCAAGGCTGACCTCCACTGTGATCCTCCCACATCAGTCTGCTCAGTCACTGGGATTCCAGGTATGCCATCACACCCAGGTGGATCTTGTTTTTTAAAAATATTTAACCCTTGGTGCCTACATTCATATGTGGCACCCAGAAAGGATTCAGTCAAATGAATAAATTAATATATGAATGATTAAAAATTTAGTACAGCTATTCTTAAATCATCATGATTCAGGGAAAGATTAAAAGAGTCAAAGAATAAGATATGAGGACAAATTCTGTAATTATAAAATAGAACAAGAAAGAGTTTTTAGTAAGAATATAAATTAAAATTTAGAGAATCAAGGGCCTGGCACTGTGGCACAAGCCTGTAATCCCAATGGCTCAGGAGGCTGAGGCAGGAGGATGGAGAGTTCAAAGCCAGCCTCAGCAAGGGTGAGAAGCTAAGCAATTCACTGAGACCCCATCTCTAAATAAAATTCAAAATAGGGCTGGGGATGTGGCTCAGTGGCCAAGTGGACCTGAGTTCAGTATCCAGTACCCCAAAACAACAACAAAAAATATTTAGAGAATCAAGAAGATCTTTAAAAATTGAATTTGTGGGTGCTGGAAATATAGCTCAGTTGGTAAAGGGCTTAACTCACGTGCACAAGGCCTTGAATTCAATCTCTAGCACCACCAAAAAAATTATATTTATGTTTTATGTTGACCAAAATTAATCATATTATAGAGATGTAAGTATACCTAATATATATTCATGTATTTAAATATATTATATGTGTATAATATGTATTTTATAATTCATAGGTTTATATGAATACATAGTACATATAAAACTTTATTACATGTTTATGTATTATTGTTTTCAATCTGAGAGGATCCTTGGAAGGAAGAAAGCTGGAAATGAGAATCTTAACTCTCCTAGTTTTGAAACATCTCAGTTTAAAGTATGTCAGAAGAGAGCTATTTGAATATTATTTTAAAATTCCATTTCCATTTTTAATAGTTCTGTTTATTTGTTTTTCAGAGCAGGGTATATTTAGGAAAAAAATACATCAATTACATAACCAAAAATTAATCAGAAGTCTTGTTCCGATCGATAATTCAAATATTTAGAGCAAGAATATTACTTCTTCTGATGTAATTTATAAAATGTGCATTCTCAATAACTGCTTTGCAAATATCTTAAGATTTTTTTTTCAAAACTTTGAATGCAGTAATTTAAATTACAAATCCATCATGTTTTTTTCTGAAAAATATTTTGAATGATTATAAAGTAATCATTTAAAGTTTACTTTAAAAAGAATTAAACAAACTTAGTAATATTTTTCTAGGTTGGTTTTATAGAGAACTATTTATGACTCTAGAGCTAAAAAGCAATTTTGGTTTAAGTTCATACAGACTAAGGTATACAACTGAAATATTGCAATGATTAAACTAAGAATTACTGATAATGCACCATTATATTACAGCTTTTAAAAATTCCTTTTACAACTAATTTAACACCATAGCAATATTATTTCTGAGACATAAAATGAATGAAGGTAAAATAATATATTATAGGCCTTTATTTAAAAGGGTAATGAGTTACTTTTAATGTATTAATGTGGGAATGTAACTCTAAAATTCTCAAAGCTACAAAAGGTCATGGTATTTATTAAATTGATGATGATTGGACTCTACTATATGTCTCATGCCCATGTATCATACATGCCTAATTTTTCTTTTCCTTGTGGATTTTAGCCTTATGGGGTATTCTTTCTAGCTCCATGATGCACAGAAAATTTCCCCTGGAAGCTTGAAATAGATGAATATTCATTATTATTTTAAATATTTTTTTTGGTCATGAAGTATTTTAAATGGTTTACCCAATCTGATATGTTCCTGAAAACAAACTTATTACTTTTCTTCCAAATAGTTAAGTTTGATCCCTTCCTACATCCACACATAATGAAAGAATTTAATTCTAAATATGTTGGATTACAAAGAGAAGTCTTTGAATTTCATTCCGAGTAACTGAAAGGTAGTCATTAATATGCATAAGCATCTCAAGAAAGAAAGGGTTCTTGCACAGAACAGAAAAACAATCTTTTGATGGTAAGACACTTATCAAATACATTTTTGTTGCCAACATAGTAGAGAAAACTATATGACACTATTATCTTAATACTTTGGAATTTACAATTAAACATGTCTAAAATTTTGGCATCATTTTTTGAAAATAAAAAGAAAATCCTATATTCTTCTTAAATAATTTAACCTCACCATTGTCCTTATCAGTTTGTCATTTTATACCACTTCACTCTCTTTTCAATGTGACTAAACCTTACAAATCTAACATATAAAGTATTAGTAGCCAGCTTCTTTAATTAGCATGTTTTAAACTCATCTTTCCAATTTTGCACACCTTTTCAAATTTCATTGTTCTCTGTTTCTATAGTATATTGCAAAGATAAACAGAGACAAGTAGAGTAATAAAAAGCACCTTGACTCTCCTTTACCCAAGACTACTCACAAAAGACGTTTGCACAGGGCACAGGGTACTCAAAGACAACAAAGGTCTGTAAGACACCTCTTAAATTGGTACTGCTTCTCTGGAGAACAATTTGATCTATGGATTAAAGGGCCTTAAAAATATGAATCTGCCTTAACA